GTTGATGGCCATTTGGGAACTTTTTTCTTTTCCTTTTATAAGTGAAGCTACTATCACATTTGTACAACTCTTGGTATGAATTCCTGATTTAATTTCTCTTGAGCAAATGGTAGCTTAGATGTTTAACTTCTTTAAAAGGTGCTGAATAGTTTTCCATAGTAGTTTACCTTTTCACATTCTCAACAGTGATCTATGAGACTTGCAGTTCCTCCACATTCTTCCCAGAACTGCATATGGTCAGTGTTTTTGATTGTTGGCATCTCATAGATGTGTCATGGTATCTCATCATGGTTTTAATTTGCATTTGCCTAATAAATGATAACTTTATTATGTTGTACGTGGCTTGTTTTGCCTTCTTCTAACGGGATCTTTTGCAAGTAGATGTTCTGAATTTTAATGAAGCTAAATTCTTTTTTTCTTTTATGCACCTTGATTTTTGCTTTATCTGAAAAATATTTGCATAATTCAAAGTCACAAAGGTTTTCTCCTTCATTTTCTTCTAAAAGATCTAAAGATATAAGTTTCACATTTAAGTCTATGATCCATTTGAATTGACTTTTGAGTGAGATGTGTTTTGAATTTTTTTTCTTGCATGAGGATGCAACTAAGTAACTTCTGTTTTTATCTATATGATTTCTTTTTTCTCTGCTTAGACTGGGCTTAACTGCTGATGTACTTAATTTTCTAATATGCGTGTTTAGTATAATAAATTCCCTCTATGGACTGTAATTGACGCAATCTACAGCTTTTGATATGTTGAGTTTCAATCTTTCTTGAGTTCAAGATATTTTCACATTTCCTTTTTTTTGTTTCTCCTTTTGCATAAGATTATTTAGAAGTGTGACTTTTTGTTGTTGTTTGCCAGTGTTTGGGAACTTTCAATAAATCTTTCTCTTATTTATTTCAATTTATAATTCCATGTGGCTGGAGGACATCCTTTGGAAGATAAAATAAAGCCCTGTCTCTCTACTTACCTCTGATACCAAATGTGTGGCGTTTTCACACTAAGAAATTCTCCCGATTCTCTGTAAATACCAGCTGGATTTCTTACAATTTATTTCAGTTCTGACACTAACTACCCCTAGTTTAGCACAAACCCCACAGGTGAAGGACTCAATGTCACAAGACTTCCCCTACCTCAAACGCCACAACTGGTAGGTGCTGCTGATTTGATCCCTGATAAAAGCCCTCTTCCTCCCTCGCAAGTGAAAGTCTCTGGCTCTGTCTTTACACGGGGAGGGAAGAGCTCATCCTCCTTCTGCCTCCTCTTACGGTAACACTAGTTCCATTCAGGAGGACTCCATAGACTACTTCTTAAAGGCACCTTCCAAATGCCATCACTTTGAGGATTAGGGCCTTAATATGGAAATTCCAAGGCGACACAAACGTTCAGTCTATAGCAGCAGGATATTCACATGTAGGAGCAATATTTTGAAAAGTCTCAGTTTAGGATCTTTCCTGTCATAGGTGGAGTCAAGCTACCCCTGGAGAATGGTCAATGTGGAAATGCTACCTAGCCATGGTGGAGAGATCTGAGAGATACAATCTTTCTATTCCTAAGCTGAAAAACTTGCTCCTTGCTTCTTTCTTTACTCTTTTTTTTTTTTTTTTTTGGTACCGGGAATTGAACTCAAAGGCATTGGACCGCTGAACTAATCCCCAGCCCTATTTTGTATTTTATTTAGAGACAGGGTCTCACTGGGTTGCTTAGCACCTCATTTTTACTGAGGCTGGCTTTGAACTTGTGATCCTCCTGCCTCAGCCTCCCAAGCTTCTGGGATTACCCTTTACTCCTTTCTGATAATATCTCTTCTTTCTTTACATTACTGAATATCAATGATCAACTGAAACCCTTCGTGCCTACATCAGGTCTTTGAGCCTTCAAATGACATCAAACTAGGGGAAGATTTCTGGGTGGTGAATTTAAGGAGTTCTCTCTCCTGCTGATTGGTAAATTGAATGAGGGAAAGGGCTATATTTTCTGTCATCTCTTCCATCCCTAAAACAAAACAAGCTAGAATAAACTTTCCCTGACCTTCATATTACTAATACTTTTGTCTCCCCATTTGTATGGCTTATGAAAAAATTGTTCATGCTCCTCATCTCTGTCCCTTTACTTGTGGGTTAATCAGATATTTTTATCACTATAATAAAATACCTGAAGTAACCAACTTATAAAGAAACAAGGCTCATGGTTTCTGAAATTCCAGTGCATGATTAACCTCACTGTTTTTTGGGCGTGTGGCAAAGCATCACATCATGGCAAGAGTGTGTGGTAGAGAAAAACTACTGATATCACAAGCCAGGGAGCAAAAGAAGAAGAGAAAGTCCCCAGGATCCCACTATCGCTTTCATGGGCATGCTCCTAGAGACATAAAGTGATTGAATTGGCTCAAAATCCTGGCTCAGTGGCCAACATGATCTGTGACCTTGGGAAAATTGCATAATTTCTCTGAGCCTCAGTTTCTTCTTCTCTAAAATGGGAATAATATTTATACCACAGTTTTCAAGCTGAAGATAAGTGAAAAATTTTGGATTAAATGGCAGTAAAATATCTCTGTCTTCAAATAGGTCTATAAAAATATCCTTAGCAAGTCTTTTTATTAGGTAAATTATCATTCAAATATCATAAAGTTCACCCTTGATGTTTAAAATTCAGTGAGTTTTAGTATATTCACAAGATTGTGTAATCATCATCTTCAATTCCAAAAATTTCCATCCTCAAAGAAAAATTCTGTTCTCATTATCAATCATTCTCATACACCAGCCCCTGACATCCACTTATCTGCTCTCTGCTTTATGGATGTAACTACCCTGGATGTTTCATATAAATGGAATCATTCCATATGTGGCCTCTATTATCTGCTTTTTTCAGTTAGCATTAGATTTTCAAGGATCAACCATGTCATCACATGAATCATCCATTTTTATGTCTGAATAATATTCCACTGAATGGACATACCACATTTTATTTATCTATGCATCACTTAGCATTTTGGGGTTTTTGACATTCTGGCTACTCTTTTTAATGCTGTCATGAACATTTAAGTCACTTATCTTTTCCTAACAGTAGTGTCTAATCTACTATAAATTTCATCTCAGACATTGGGGGATATATCTCTAGAATTTTTATTTGGGTCTTCTTCATCTTCTTTGACTCTACATAATATGTTGAGTCATCCCTGTATTTCTTAAGCATATAAATATAGCCATAATAATTGTTTTAATATCCTTATCAAGAAATTCTGTTCCCTGTGTCATTGGTCAGTTTCAATGGTTTAAAATTTTTCATTATGGTTTGTATGCCCCTGCTTTTTTGCATGCCTAATAAATCTTTAGATGCCAAACATAGTGAATTTTTCCTCTTTGCATGCTACATATATTTTTATTTCTATTTTTAAAGCCTTTTTCTTGGATAAAGTTGCATTTCTTTAAAAAAAAAAAAGTTGGATCAATTTGGTTCTTGCGTTGCAGCTTCATCGACTAGGTACATCTAGTAGTCATTAGTTTCAGGATTTTACCATACTACAGAGGCAAAAGCCCTCGGAGCACTGTCCTTGGTGCCCATGAACATGAGCTGTTGTACTCTGGCTGGAGAAAAGGCGGTCTGTGTCTGACCTCTGTGAACTCTAAGGACTGTTCCTCTTGTCCTTGACCCGGGTCTTTCCCAGCCTCGGGTGCTTTCTTCACGTTTCTCTCTCTGTGGAGCTCTGCCCTCTCTTTTCTTAACTCACGGACGTCCCTAGCTCCACTTAGGTCCTCTGATTCCCTGCACCATAGAGTTAATGGTAGCCTTCCCCCATTTCTTTCCAACTCTTAGGGATCGCTGGGCTTCATCACCTGAGGTTCAGAGTCTTGAAAAAACATTGGCTTATGTATTTTGGCCATGATTTTTTTGGTAGTTTGGGGGGAGAGGGTAAGTCTGATCCCTCCACCATGTCCAGAGATAGCTGTATTTATTTGTATGAAAGTTTGGTGGTTACCATGCCACTATTGAACCACCATTTTTCAAACTCAGAGAAAGAAGAAGTTCAGGCTTAACCTTGATATATAGAACCCATGCTTCTTATGAATAAGTTTTCTGAAAATGAGAATATTTTATACCAACTTATATTTTATGTAAATAGTGTTTATTTAGTTAATGAATTTTTCATGGTTGGCTTTAGAAGCCCTGAATGGATTGTACCTTCCTATTTTTTCTGTTCTCCTTTCCATCAAAATAGAAAAGAATCTGCTCCCTCCTCAGGGTTGGAGACACAGACCTCTGCTTTCTGGGGCATAACAAATCGCTCCTTTGTTGTATGGCTGGATGCTGCCCAATTGCCTAATTTCTACCTCCACCCATACTTCAGACTGGCTGGAAAGACATTTTCCACCCTTATTCCACCTCCTTTCCCCCTCAGTAGCCAATCCCAGGCAAACAGTTGCCAAGACCACGTAGAAAAAACTGTGTGACACAGGAAACATTTTCTGAAATACGTTTAGATTGGTTTAATAAAAATAAGCCCTAAGTCCTCAAAGACCTCAACTCCTGTGTCCCCTGGGATGTCCTGCTGTCTGTTAGGATGTTGATCAAACTCACAGAGTGCTTTCCCTTAAACTGAGAAGCTATCAAAGCCGTGTCCCCTCATGACCTGCCTTCTGGTTTACAAGTGTGAAGGTCGCAGGCCTCCTTGGATGTAAACATGCAGGCTCCAGTGTGGCACTCTCTGTTATTATATCCATTAAGCTTTCCAGTTTAAAAACTGAGCCAAGCTTTTCTATCCATTCCAATCCTCCGGAAGTGCCCGGATGGCTGCGGATGAATTTTTAATATTCTCTTTCCATTTTCAAACCCTGTGTCCTCCCCAGTGCTCAGCCTTTGCACGCAAACTGTTTACAGCTCAACCTCTGCACGCAAACTGTTCGCGTTCACCTTGGTGATGCTGGATTTCCCCCCCCCCCCGGGGCCTCCAGGTTGCCAGTTGTCACTTAGATCAACACAGATTCAATCTGCCCCAACCAGTCTGCTGCAGCCAGTACAATGGATGAAAAGAATTTGTGAATGGGCCAGAGTTGTTCAGCAGCGCTGGCACTGAAGGGGGAAGAACCCAGGAAGGACAATCGGACACCCACCCCTGTGCCTTGCTATCATCAGTCACAGAGAAAGTGCTCAACAAAAGTAGCCAAGCATTTTGGTCCCCGACAAACCTCAAGACATGAAGCATCCATGAGAAATCAGGTGTCTGTAGGGCCTGGTATATTTTATATTTCATTCAAAAGCAGTACTTTGAGAATATGACTCATTAACAGGAAAAGGGAACACTTGCATATCGATGGTATGATTGTAAATTAGTACATCATTATGGAAAACAGCACGGGGCTCCTCAAATAACTAAAGATGGAACTACCATATGATCCAGCCATCCCACTACTAGATATATACTCAAAAGAAATGAAATCAGTGTGTCAAGGAGATACCTGCATTTCCATTTTGGGTGCAGCATTACTTACAATAGCAAAGATACGGAATAAACTGATAAATAGTTTAAAAAATGTGATACACATGCACATACATGCACACTTAAGTGGAATACTAGTCAATCTTATAAGGGAATAAAATCCTCTCATTGGAGGCAACGTGGAAGGAACTAGAAATCGTTATGTTAAAGGGAATAAGCCAGGAACAGAAAGACAGGCACCACATCATCTCATTCATAGGTGGAACCTAAAACAGTTGATCTCAAAGATGTTGAGAGGAGCACAGTGGCTACCAAGGGGCTGGAGAAAGAAGGGGGCTGGGAAGGATGGGGAGAGGTTGATGAATAGGTACCATTATCGTTAAATAGGAGCAAGAAGTTCTGGGGTGCTGTTGTACAATAAGATGACTGTAGATAACAATAATGTACTATCTATTTCAAAAAAAAACTAGAAAAAATAGTTTGTATGTTTTTACCACAAAAAAATAGTGTTTGAGGAGACAATGTGTTCACCTTCAGACATCAGACAAGGTTTGCATGAAAACATCCTGGAGGGTGAGGGTGGAGCTCAGGGACACAGCACTTCCGTAGCATGCAGGAGGCCTTGGGTTCAATCCCCAGCTCCTTAAAATGTGAAACAGAACAGAACAAAATCACACGGTGCCCCCACCCCATAAATATGTACAATTTTTATGTTTTAATGCATCTCTTAAAAATAAATTTAAAATTTAAAAATATTTGAGAAGGGTACAAGAGCCAGTCAATATAAAACTGGTCTTTCTACTCTTCTGTTAGGACATTGACCAAATTCAAGAGGAAGAAGACTTCAACACTGGAGTGAGACTGGCCAAATTGAATTGTTATATTGTGTGCATGTACAAATGCATAACAATGACTCCTACCACTATGTACAACTAGGATGCACTAAGAAAAAATATGAAAAAAAATGAAGACTTCAAAACCATTGATAAGCCCTGCATTGAGGGTCTTCATTCACTAATCTCAGGTTCCTAGTCCCTGGGTGGAATTAGAACGATACCGTAGGAGACCAGAGCTTTGGTTCCTTGGCAAGAGATGAGCAGGCTCTCTCCGCCTGTGTGGCTGCTTTTGACTTTTAGGAGAAGCACCATAAACCCTGAAAGAACAGATTTAAAGGAGGAGGTGACAAAGATCCAGCGCGTGGAGGGGTCTTCAGGGACACAGCATGCCCTCCTTTAAAGCCTGAGTGGCAGCTCTTCCAAGAAAAGCATTTGTCAGAGTCAGGAGTGAGTGGCCATCACCACTTCTCGCCCCATTGCCCGCCATGCAGTCTGTGAGCTCCAGGTGACCACCGTCCTCCAGTTGATCCTTTGGGAGCCTCTGCCTTGGCTCCGAGCACCACCCTCTAGTCGTGCCATGAACCCCGTATTTCCCAGCAGATTGGCATTTTCTCCTCGTTTTGTGCTGTCTACCTCTTTTGCCACAGATGAGGTTGCTTAGGTGTCTGTCATCTACTCCCACACAAGCTGTCTCTCCCCCCCTTGGCAAAGGAGCCTGTGACACTGTCTTTATGGACCATCCTTGGGGACAGGAAAACAGATGACAGAATGATACTTCAGGGAGTTAACTCGAAGTTGACTCTAAAAAATCTTGTTTCTAGTGAACAGTAAAAATGGGTCTCCAACAGTAAAAATGATTATTTGTCTGAGGAAAAGTAACATTTTACACAGAGTCTTCCCTTTGTATCCAGGGGGGATTGGTTTCGGGATTCCCTTGGATACCAAAGTCCTTGTATGTAAAATGGCATAGTATTTGTAGAGGACCTACACAATCTTCCTGTGTGCTTTGTCATCTCTAGATTATTTATATTATCTAACACAATGTAAGTGCTATGTAAATAGCTGTTCAACTCCGTTGTTTAAGAAATACTGACAAGAGGAAGAAGCTCCACTGGTACTTGGTTGAATCCTCAGATGCAGAATCTGTGAACAGCGAAGACCAACTGTATTTAGAAAATGGCTGGACGCTTTTAAACTAAAAATCAGTAGAGAACTTCACAGCCAAGTTCATTTCTCAGCTCTTCCAAAGTCTAAGCTCCAGGGACTGGGTCTTTGTCATGTTATAGAAGGCACTGAGCACGATGATCCATTTAACAAGGTTCCCAAGCAAGGATTGTTTTCAGGAGGTGGTTGGGGGTCCCAGAGCAGTTCCTCTTCTGCTTGGTGTGTTGATCCAAAAAGTTGATCTTTTGGGAGCCTCTGTCTTGGCTCAGAACACCAGCTGTTTGGTGGCCCCAAGAGTAGAAATGTCAGCTGACTGCACTGTTTTTCCACAGAACACTAGAATTTTGAGTGTGAGTAAAAGCAGTATAATAATGTCAACAATGTCAAAGTAAAGGCCAATAAGGGGATTTTATGAAATCCTTTTATGTTGTCCATTTACCATTGAGGATGCGTTCTAACCTAAGGATTAACAATGATCAAGATGATAATCATTTTAAAGATGATAAGTCCTAAGAGGCATTCCACCCAGGAACAAATCTGACAGCTGAAAATTCAGGACAGTGAGCGTTCTAAGGGCCACATGCTCTAAGGCGACACTATAAAATATAGGTGGCAATTAGCTTTAATTCACTGAGCTGGAAGCAAGTTTTATCATTCCTTTAAAGAACTACCCTCCATGTGACAGTGTCAGGTACCTACCCGGGGCCTCAATGCATTAATTAAAGCCCTGAAGTGTTTTATAAATTCACCAGCCACAACAATCAAATGACAAACAGTAGTAGTTATGGGGGGAAAAATCTACTTTAGGTCTTAGACTGTGTCCTAGAGTTGAATGTAGGCTGTAAAATTCCACACTTTTTGTGTCTTTTAGGTGGTTATGTTAGTCTTGTATTTAGGACTGAGAGCGTGTAGATGAAGCACACACAAAGATTGATTTGCCTATAACATGCACGTGAATTTTCTGAAACATTATATTCTCTGATCTCATAAAAACAGAAGCAATACTTTCATAGCCTGCTGTTCCATTAAATTCCAAGAATTTGAGATATGTCGTGTGTAAGAGTGCGTTGCACTCTCTGATGACTTGGAACAGAAGAAAGATTTAGGGAAAATGAGCATGGTCGTCATTAAATGAACAATCACAAGTATTTAGATCCATAAACCACTTTCCCCCTCAAAAAAATGAGGCCACCTGTGTATTCACGAGCCTATTACTGTCCCGTGTGTCCTATCGGGTACCGAGGAAGCTATCATTTTCTCATTTGTTTTATAGTTTGTTCCCTGATATTTAAGAAAGGGAAAAAGGCAAAAGAGGAAGAAGGAACATTTGAAATGTTGCAGGTGATTCATGATTGTGACGGTCAGTGTCCGAGTCCCGTCCTCTAGAAGGGTGAATACTTGAGCACAGGAAGGAACAGCCTTTGGGTGTAAGTCCATGGCTGACCACTGACTTTCCGCTTGTGACAGGGGTTTCAGGAGGATGCTGCTCCCCTGGGGGTCCTTGCTCCGAGTGGACTGGTTTCCTCTGTGCTCTCTCCTGGAGTCTCTCTTCTTTCAAAGTTTAGCCTAAAAGTCACCTCTCCTTAATGCCCCTCTCCCCACTGCCACCATGCCAGCCCTCAGTCCCAAGTGGGGCTCCTGGTTCCTTCTTCTTGGTCCTGCAGCTTCCCCCATATGCCTGGGGGGGCTTTGTGGGGCAGGCATGGAGGGTGGGCTTTCCTTGCACCGCCATGGAGAGCAGCAAAGGAGTCCATGCAGCTGACGAACTTGTGTCTGTAGAGGTCACTCCGGCTGCAGGGCAGGGAAGAATGAGAAGCACCATGAAAGGTGAGCATGGCCAGGACGAGACTCTTAGCCATTAGGGTAAAACAAAGTCACACTGGGGAACAAATTGGAGGGGACTTGCCATACATGGGTGCTGTGTAGAAATTGAAAGTCAGAAGTCCTGGGAGCAGAGGAGATCTGGATTGTGATTTGAACCTGGCACTGAAGGCAGGGTACTAGCGCTGCCATCTGAAGGAGGGAAGGAATATGGAGGGATTGCCACCTGGGGCCCAAGGACCAGGTGGCTACGTTTCCTGAGTCTGACTTCCATCTGTATGAATTGATTGATTTCCCATTTGACATTTTCTAAAAGCAATCCCCTTTTTTATTTTTATTTTTTATTGGTTCTTTGTAGTTAAACATGACAGCCGAGTCCATTTTGATATGATCATACAAGCATGGAATATATCTTACTCTAGCTAGGACCCCATTCTTACAGATGTACACAGTGGTGGGATTCATTGTGTTGTTTTCATATGTCAGATTCACTCCACTGTCTTTCCTTTGTCCAATATCAATCCTCTTTAAGAAAAAAGAAAGAAAAAGCACCTGCTTCAGTCTTTCCAAGCAGGCCTAAGAGAAATGTCAGAAGCTGGAAGGCATTTGGTGATTTTTGTCTGTTATCCTTTTTCTAAGCATAAAACTTTGCACTTAGAACCACATAAACAGAGTGAATAATTTAAGTCCCTGGCTGGGTTTTATTCTCTTTTCTTTTTTAATACTTAAAATGGCAAACTGCAGCAATTCTTTCTCTGCCAAACTTGCTCTTAACGAACTCTGTTATAAGAAACTGTTGTCACAAGTGTGTTGAATGCATCTTTTCTTTTCTTTTTTTTTTTTATAGGTTACCCAAAGCAGAGGACTGTGGTTCCTCGAAATGGGTTTGCACCCAAGCCTGACCTGCAGGCCCGGGAGGCTGAGCGGCAGCTGGTCCAGCGACTGAAGGACCGGTGTGAACAGCAGGCCCGGCAGCTTGGCCTCATTCAGGGGGAGCTGAGGAGGGCCATCTGTGGCTTTGATGCTTTGGCCGTGTCCACTCAACATTTCTTTGGAAAGGTAAGGCCACGTTTGGTAAGGGCAGCTTGTTTGGGGACTTTGACAAGGGCGTCTATGGTGATGGCCATGGAGTATGTGTCGCAGTTTGAGTTTGGGGTCAGAAGGTCACACAGAATCTTCTGCAGCACCCTGTAATGTTTAGGGGCCAAGATTATCCTCATGTGTCAACAAATGTGTTCTGGAAAAAATACTAGGTAACCATCATCCCCAAAGAGAAAATTATGTAAAAATGAAAGGGGAGGGTACACATTAATATTTTTAAGTTGAGATCTTTGAAGTGAAATGAAAGTGGAATTGTTTTCAAAAAACAAATGAACAGATTCTGAAATTTCGGCTCATTTCCAATGAAAGGGAGGCAGGGCCACAGCACCACCCCTTTGGCTGGTGGGAAATGAAATGTGCAGGTCTGAGGCCTCCTATCAGGGCCCTGGTCTCAGTGTTCAGAAGCAGGGGGTGGAGGGATCTTTTCTGTGTTCGATTTCTCTCTGAACATTGCAGAAAGTGTTTTTTGCTTCTCAGCAAATGTCTGGGGCTCCTGGGGCCATCTGGACTCTGAGTTTGTTATTAGGTGTGGAGAATGAAGCTTCCCATCTCACCATGGCATAGAGGCTGGTGGCAGCCTGGTATCTGACTCTCTTAGTGCTCCAACTCCAAGAGTGCTTGGGGGTGCAACCGAATTGGAGATTTAAATACTGTGAATATCTCAGTCCATTTTCTGTTGCTATCACAGAACATCTGAGACTGGGTGTTAGTAAAAAAAAAAAAAATAGGAGTTCATTTTGACTCACAGTTCTGGTGACTAGAAAGCCAAGAGCATGGTGCCAGCATCTACTCAGCTTCCGGTGAGGGCCTGCCCCTGTGCTGTGGAGGTCATGATGGGAAGTAGAAGGGCAGGCAACACCTGCAAAGAGAGGGAGGGCACAAAGGAGCTGAGCCGCTGCTTTATAACAACGACCCACCCCCTGAAGAACTCATCTGTTCCCATAAGAGCTGATCTGGTCTCAACTTTGGTAACCAGATTTCTACATGCGTTTTGCGGTGGGTCGGGGAGAAACCACATCTGAACATAGCAATGAATGGTCATTTTGAGTTTTACATGTGGACCTTCTGGTGCCTATAAATGGGAAGAAGTAGAAATGCAATATAAATTCCTCCCAAATAAGAAAGTGAACTAACTGAAGTTCTGGCTAATTTAAAAACGCAGAAGAATATTAAGCAGCCCTATGTCCACTGGCTTCTGGCTTTATTTATCATCTGAGCCTTTAGGTGTAGAGCACTCTGGCTTTTATGGTATCCTACACCCTCCCTCCCCTCCAGCATGGAAGCCTGAGCTGCTCTTTTTCGTCAGCTCTTTTCTGTTTTGTTTAAAGCACTCAATGAACTGAGCCACGTGGCGGGATGCAGTCAAAACAAGGTGCACTTTTAAAATATTGTACAAAATCACCTTAGAGTTATATACATATATAAGGTATATATGAAACATAAATGATTTCCATGTTTAGACTTGAGTCCCATCCCCAAGTCAACTCATTATGTATATGCAAATATTCCAAGATCTGAAAAAAAAAATTCTGAAATGCAAAACACTTCTGTCCCAAACATTTCAGATAAGAGATCCTCAACCTATATACATACATAAAGGGTTTGGCCTGGATGGTGCTTTAAGAATAGAAATAATTTTTCTAAATAACTTTTCTAAATATGCTTTCTATAGCTCTTCAATATGTCTATTTTTCTGAATGTGCTGGTGCCACTTAGAAAGTATTAAAAACAAGTCTCTTCACTAAAGAAAGGCCTAGAAGCCCAGATGAGAATCTTCCATTTCTGCCCCGAGCTTACAGCTCACGGCAGAGCGGCTGTGAGAGTGTCAGCTCTGACACTGCCTCAGCCCAGCCTCCAGGGAGCCTAAGACGCCACACTGAGGTGTCAACACCAGCCTCACACTTGCATCGGCTCCAGGCAGCTCTGCCCCTGCAGTCAGGCATGTTCCCCAACAGACCAAACAGATCTGCTGAAATCCACCGCCCCAGACCTCTGGGTTGGTGTAGTAATGAGTGTGACTCTCCGGGACTTACACTTCTCCGTGTCAGGTTGAATGGTCTGAATTTCTCTCTTGCTACGTGGTTCCTGGGAATGCTACTCTCTAGTGTCCCCTGGTGGTTAATCCATGAAATAATCCAGCAGATGATCCTATTGTACAAAGTGGTTATGTTTCACCTTGCAGTATCAAGTTTTACATGTTGCATGTGAAGGTGTATTTAATTTAATTAGATTTATTATATTTTAAAATGTTTTTCATATTGGCTTTTGTCACCTTTTAACATTAATTTTATACATGTGATAGTAGGTGATGCTTTTAAAACTTGCTTTTTAGTTATTATTAGTTAAAGCAAAAAAAGCATGAAAACTAATGTCAAAAAAAATTTTGTGTACTTTATTAGTAAGATTTCCATTACTATAACAAATCACATGAGATAATCAATTCATAAAAAGAAAAGGTTTAGCCAGGTGCAGTGGCACACACCTATAATCCCAGCAGCTTGGGAGGCTGCAACAGGAGGGTGGCAACAATTTAGCACGGCATCTAGCAAGACCAATTTAGCAAGACCCTGTCTCAAAATTAAAAAAATAAAAAAGGGCTGGGGTTGTGGCTCAGTGGTTAAGTGCCTCTGGGTCCAATCCCTGGTACCAGAGAGAGAGATGGTCTGGGGGGGGGGTATTTTGTCTTGACATTTTGGATATTCCAGACCAAGAACGACCCTCTTACTTTGGGCCTATTGTGAGGCAGCACATCATGGCAGGAATATATGATGGAGCAAAAGTTCTCATGTCAGGAGCCAGGAAACAAAGAGAGAAAGACCAAAGGAGTCTCCTTCGGAGTTGCCGCCTAATTACCTAAATACCTCTCATTAATTCCCACCTCCTAAGGTCGCTCCACCTCCTAATAGTTCACTGTGGTGACTCAGCTTTGAACACATGGACCCTTGGTAGACATTCCAGATCCAAAGTGTAGCATGTACTTGCTGTGCCTAATAAAAAAAAAAAAAAATCAATATAGCACTGTCTTAGTCAGCCTTTTGCCACTGTGACCAAAAGACCAGGCAAGGACAATTTTAGAGGAAGAAAAGTTTTATTTGGTACTCGTGGTTTCAGAGTTGCAGATGGACACCTCCATTGCTCTGGGCCTGAGGTAAGGCTAAACACCATGGCCAAAGGGTGTGGAGGAGGAAAGCAGCTCAGGGCATGACAACAAGAAGCAGAGAGTTCCCCTCACTGGGTGCAAAATGTAAACCCCAAAGGCAAGCCATCAATGACCTACTTCCTCCAGCCACACTCTGCCTGCCTACAGTTACCACCCAGTTAAGCCCTATAAATGGATTAATCCACTGATTAGGCCACAACTCTCATAATCTAATCACTTCACCCCTGAAAATGCTTGCTTTATCTCACAGTGAGCTTTTGGGGGACACCTCACATCTAAACCACAACATGCATCAACCCTCTTTCTCCCAAAGTATAAAATAATCTTGTTGCTTTTACTATCTGATCTTTTGTTCCAACGTTTTTTTTTTAATTCAGAAGAGTAGAAAGAATTAGACCCAAATGCCCATCATCTATATTTAGCACTTATTAACATCCTACCACATATGCTTTATCTATGTTTAGTTGTCCTTGTTGTTGGTCAGGGGTGTGTATTTTCAATGTATTTTGTATGTATTGACTTTGACCTTTCAAACTCAATTCACTTGAGTTATCAGAGGATCTTTGTCAATGCTTCAGATGCTGCCTCTGCATATGAAAGTGTCTATGGAGGATTCAAAAAGTTACATAAAAAGCAGAGTTCATACATAACAGTAGAGCACCTATTGATGGACCACCTACTGTGTCCTAGGTTCTTTCCATACTTTGTTTGAATTCTCAGAATTAAATTCGTACAATTCTCACGTGGAATTTGGGGAAATGGGCTCAAGGAGATTGTGTAACCCTCCAAAGATAATTAGAAAGTGCTGCAGCCAAGATACAAATACCTGTCGGCCCACATCCAAGTCCCAAGCTTTCCACTATATGAAAATGCAAGCGCTCCCTCTCCCACAGCCCTCGAGATGCTTTTGATACAGTTAAGAGGGGGGAAAACCTAAGTGCCAAACAAGTGGGAGGTTAATCTAAAAGTTAACACTTACCTGGTGTGCGGACAGAAAAGGACCTTAAATGATCTTAGCTGGTTGCCATAGAAATCCTATGTGCTTAGAGGAAAGCTGGATACTGAGAACAGGAAGGAGGCTTGGGAGAGCCAGGATGGGGAGAGGGTGAGACTTGGGGCAAGTAAAGAGGAAGGAGGAGCATAGGTGGGAAGGGAATTCCCAAAGACCAGGGTCTGCTGCTTGGGGTCCCCTTCCCTATCTGTGAGCTCTTGGCAAATCGGTTAATGGTTTATGAACAGAGTAAGGCCTGGGGAACTGTTCTGACAAGTTCAGTGATTCTCTCGGAGATGTGGATCTGGCCCAGCTCCATTTTTAATGCTCCACAAGAAAGCAGAATCCTTTACAAAAGGATTCTACCTGTTTTTCCTCTCTTCCTCTTGACCATTCTTGGATCAGGTCAGGAGGGTGGACTAAAGAGGAAGAAAGGAGAAACAAAGATAGAATCTGTTATAAAATGCTTACTTCCTTGCCTTAACCATTTAATGCTTTCAGATTTTAAATTCGGGAATTCATCAAGATGAATGTCTGCCCTCAAGCTCTAAAAGCAGGAGAGCAGCCATTGTGCCCACCAGCCAAGGGAGTCCAGTTTCAGAGAAGTCCCCGCTCAGTGGGGCTATCAAAGCAATAATTCCACCTGGTCAGAATTAGAAATTTTAAGCTCTTTGTAGCTCCTTAAATCCTAAAAAAGGAACACGTAAATATAGTATTTTGTGCACTACCCCCTTATAAACTGTGCCCTGTAGTTATCCTCTTTTGGTCCCTTAATTCATCTTGAATAACCTAAAGCGTACTGGAAATGTGAGCACCTCGCTTGGCACTTCTGACAGTTATCAGCACAGAACCTTTGGGAAATGTTGATGAAGTGGTAGACGCAAGGTAAACAGGTGGTTCCAGTGATCACTAGTCTAAAGAGACTCAAGTGTCACAGGAGTAAGGCCTCGTACAGTGGAGTGTTTGCTTTCACTCAAAGAAACTTCATAGCTGATCCCCAGATATCAATGTATTCTCCAAATCAAGAGAAAAAAAACCCTGGCACACCCTAGCAGCTCTTTGGAGTCATAAGAATCCCTGGCCTAGGGTGTTGGTGATGGAAACCTCACAATGGGAGGAAAATATGACTCAGGAGCAAAGTCTTTCTAAACATTTATAGAAGATCCTCAATTCTGGAGGCTGATAAAAGCCAACTTTATCGATGATAATATAAATTTCACAAATAAGAACTGATACTTGGTTAAGGTAAAAACTAATCGCCCCCATTACTGAGCCATTTCTATTACGCTTTGTCATAAATGGTTCATTTGTTTTTTCAAATGGAATGACACCCTCCTGAGGGACACAGGGACACCATGGGGGCAGGTGTGAGTTTCACCAGTCACTTTGGAAAGGTGACCTGCTCGTTTTCCCCAGACCCAGGTGAACAGTTGTTTAAGACCGGTGACAGTCAAAGTGCATGCCTTTAAAATACTCTGTTAACGCAGAATTCAATGCAGTCCTCCTGTGGGCCACCAGCAACAGCGTGGGTCACAAGGCCACACCACCCAGCCTCTCTAGACCTATGGCCTCTACAAATACCAAAGTGTCTCTTAAATGTCACTGGAAACTTAACTAGATCAATTAAGTGATAAAACTCCCCTCCAAATAAAAACAAGTAGAAACTAATTTTAGAATTATTTTAGATAATTTTAGAAACTAATTAGTA